CCATTTTTCTCACCATTCCAAGCCCAAGCATAATGTTCTGAGTGGCCACACACATACACATAACACAAAACACAACAGGGTTAAACTTAACAGATTGCAGAATTTCAAAGCATTCCGATTGCTCTGAGGGAATAAATTTTGATTTATGTCTAACTAATCAGAAAAGAATTAGCCTCTTCAGAAGAAGCTGAAAATCCAATTAAAGATGTTTTTAGAAGGAATAAATTTTACTTAGTTGATGGGTCCAATTTTTTTACTCCTTGCCTGACAGGACTGAACACTATTGATGTTTATACTGAAGCCCAAGGTTCAAGATGTAATTTACGCTCTATCTTTTAGCCTAAGCGTCCGATGCTCAGGATTCAAAGAACACTGTTTTCCTATCTCCCCAATCAGCTTCCTTATGTCTGTTTCAAGCATTGCCATGCCTGACTTCTGTAGCAGGAGTCTGAGCTCCTGTACCTGCTTTTGCTGAGGGTGAGATAATTTACAGCCCATACTTACTCACTGAGGGGTCTCGTAAGACGAAAGTGCACCTAGGGGTCTGTTCCAGACGATGGTAAGTATGTCGGCAGCTGCTTCTTCCCGTAGGGGTCCCAAAACAAAATGTCCCTGTTCGGGCGCCAGCTGTGGTAATCAGTCCTTAGTCATTGAAGGGTGCAAAGAAATGGCCGGCAGCACGCAGCCTTTATTTGTTTATAAAGAGTTTTACAAATAGCAAAAGATACTGCATGGCAATAGCATTTCATTGGCTAAAATCCTTTACCAATCCTCAAGAGTAAAAAGCTAGAGGCCATAAACAGGGAAACTTGTTGTTCACCAGCCAGCCTTATCAAACTGGCAAGGTCACACAGACCTGCGCACTTTCATGTCACTATGGTGATGTGTGTGTGTGTGGGGGGGTGATAGATGCAGAAAGGAGGGGCACCCAGGCTTTGGAGGGGCAGTGTTCTGCACACGACCTTTGCCTGTCTCTCACCTCTAAACTACACCTGTTTACACTCGGATTGAGATGTCTCTGACAATACAGATAAACCCCCAAGTGACCTCAACAACTTTCAGAGAGCTAATGACCAGTTTTCAGGGTACTAACAACCGGATGACTGCAAAGAACATAAATCCTTCCATTCCTACCAATCAGTTAGAACTGATGAAGCTTCTTGGATGAGAAGCGAAACGTTTTCAAAGGGAAAAAATCCAAGAAAGTCCAGTGATCTGTTGAAAGAAAAGTCTTCATCCTGGTTCATCCAAGCCGGGGATAAATAAACAACATGGCGACTGCTTTGGGAAGAAGGTTGCAGTTTATTGAAGAGCCAGAAAGATAGTTCTTGCAGGAAAGACCAGAGGAAAAAAGGGCTGAGAACACGGGTAGTAGGTTTTTATAGTCTCTGAAAGCCTTTTGTTTGGAATAGTTTCCTGTTCCTGTGGCATGAACTTTGAGGCTATTTCCTGTGTCACGTGTTCTGACCTGAGTTTAGGTGTGCCTCTCTGGTATTTTTAATGGTGATGGGTTAGTCCTATTATGTCCCATCTCAGGTATGCAGGGGTATGCAGAGTTTAGGTCTTTGTCTTCTTGATCTCCTAGCTGGGGCCTTTCTGATGGTTTACATCTGCATTTGTACAGAGCTGGCTCCTGCTTGGGACAAAAAGACTTGTGGGCAGGGTTGGTTTCTGCTTTTAAAAATCCTTTTGAGGAAATATATTTTTCTGCCCTTTTAATATTTCCTTCTCTGGGGGGCTGACTTCCCACAGGTCTTTTGGAAAAAGTAATTTTAGGACAACCATGACCTGGATGGTTGAGTATATCTGTAGACATTTAGTTTGCTACAACTAGTAAGCGTAAACTTCTGTCATATATCACTTGATTGGAGACTCCTAGAGAAGCTTCTCCGAAGATGAAATTTGAATTTACATATTGATGTATTATTTCTTAACAAGATTTATAAGGCCACCCAGCTCAAACAATATGGTACTGGTAAGCCTATGTGGAAGGAGATGAATTCTTTTAAGTAATTGGACCCCAAATACTTCTGCACTTTAAAGATTAATTCATGGAAATAATAATAAGAAAAAAATTTCAAAAATGTATATTACCTTTTACTGCAATATCAAAATCTAACCTCTGGGGTGATAAAGACCTCTGTAATCATCTTTTTTTTTCACTTAGGCAAATAAAATCCAGCTTCTTCAGATTATTCAGAAAAAAATATTTTTTAGCATCCTTATAGTTTTATAAGTTATTCACATTTTTTAAAAAATCCTTTTTAAACTGTGTGGTACTAATTAGGAATGTCTGTGTGATATGATATAACATCTATAAATTTGCATTAACTTCCAAATTCTACTGGAAGAATAAATGGAATAATAGCACAAATACGCATTACCAGATGTTTTCCAAACGGTGCAGAGAAGTATTATGATGTTTTCTAACATTGACATACTGCTTATGTTTACACAATGAAAATAGTGTATCTGATTTGAGCTTCAGCAGCATGTGATTAAATATTGTTCAGCCCATCTATCATAAAACTGCTATCATATGGGTTTTACTTTCTTCAAGACTTACAATCTTTCTGAAACCCAAAATAAGAGTAAAGCATCAGCCCTTTAATTGGAAGGCCAAATGAAGTATTTGTATTGGCAAGCCAGACATTAATAAACTCCCAGTCATATTTCACTTCTAACCACATTTTGGAATTCAGTTTCTCCACATATCCCAGTGCTAGATTAGGCCTAGTTGAGGCTCAGCAAAATGCCCCCTCTGTGAGCTTATGGTGAAAAAAATCAGGATAAGCATATGGGCAAATTATCTCCTGGTGACCGATGGTCATCCACTTCCCACTCATTACAATGCAGACATTGTCAGGAAAATGCTCGACTGACCATAAATTCATGTTTACTCACCCACACGTCTCCCCTCTATTTGTCTGGGGCTTGGCATTTCAGCTGAAATTTCTTTGCTTGAATGTTAGATTCAGTTCATGTTGCCATCCAGCCTTACTATCCTACCTTGAAGTCAAAACTCAAGTCATCAGACTACTTGTTATTGTTGTTGAGTCACCTGTCACTTGGTGCAGTTTTTTTGGCAACATTTTCAGAATATACTGGCCAATATCTTCTTGGGAGGAAGGGAGAGGGGGGGAGGGAGGGAGGGAGGGAGGGAGGTGGAGGGGGGGCAAGGCCACCCAGTTTGCTTTCATGTTTCTGGCAAGCTTAAAATTCAGTTTTCCTGCCTGTAATCCATGATCTTTATTTTACCTATTACACTACATTGATTCTCCCTTACAGATTGGATATAATTGACCAGTGTTTCATTCATGTCAGTCTATATATTTCGGAATTAAGAAAAGGATTATTAGTTTTCAAAGTTTCCAAGTGTTAGCCAATCAGTTTGGATGTGGGAAAAATCAAAATAGTTGTGAAATATGCATTTTCTTGTCCCTTTAAGAAAACAGCCTTCTTGGGGTTTTTTTTGGGTTTTTTTTTCATCTGAATTAGAAATTCAGGGCAAAGCCAGGTCATTAACACAGGGCCCAGAAAGAAGAGATGGCAGAAATAATGATGTCATTAAATCAAGCTTTATGAATATGTAAGGATGCCTTATTTTGCATTATTACAGCTGTTACTTAAAACATGCCTCAGCCGTTGTCCCATTGATTGTTAATTTCTGAGCTCCATGTGAAGTCTCTGATGACTCCCAAGAAGGAGCTTTAAAGGGCCTTTGAGAGATTAAACAGAAAACACAGAGAAAAGCCTTTTGGATCTGTGTCTGGGGATTTTGAAGAAAAGAAATTAATCAGAAGGGTTGAGGTTAAGCATTCTAAAGCAGAGGAGCTGCCCATTTGTAATATGACTCCTTATATAAAGGGGAGGCTCAAAGATTTGTGAATGAGGTTAGAGCCCAGCATTTGATATGTATGGCAGTTAAAGAAAGAGCTCTGAGAGGTTAGCCGTAATTGCTAGGAGAAGGAGGCTGGGCATGGCACGTGGGGGAAGATATTAACAAGTTAAATGTGTTCTGTTCTTTCATTGCTATAATGTGAAGCTACTTGTAATGAAATGCTCAAGGAAGACTTTTTGCTATGCACGTGAGGTGCAGGGAATTTGGAAAAGATAGTTTCATCACAAATTGTGATTGGGAACTTCTAATTATTCTTTGTGTCACATTTTGAAGATGCACATGTTTATAACTCCAGTGCAAGAAATGGCATCAAGTCTAAACAAATCTCATATCTGCAGAAAGGTAGTATAAGCTTCATGGATGTCCCTAATCTGATGCGGTGTAAATAGCCTTGTTGATGGAGGATGATAGCTGTCGTAGCCCTGAAGGCACCAGATTATAGGACTGTAAACTCTAACACATTTTAACAGTGGTGATATATATCATACATTTAAGGAAAACGGACCATAAATTATTGATCTACACCCTAGCAACAATTTAACAGTATTAGAGAGATCTGAAGCCTAGAAAGCAACAATTCAGTTATGCAATGGGGGAAAAAAAATCAAATAATTGGATGGGATTGATGGAAATTATGTATAACAATATTTGAAAAGCCAGGAGTTGGCACTGGCAAAAAGTGGGGTTCAGAGAGAGACAGATGTTCTCTTCTTTCCCAGTATAATTTGGCAAGCTGATCAGCAAAGCACAAACTTATCTTTTTGAGAATAGCACTGTTGTATGCCTCCAGTTTTCATCAGTATATTTTTGAAACTGACTGGGCTCTTAGTTTCAGACATTTAAGAGTTATCATCTGACCAGATTACAAGCACGGTATGCATTTTTTTTTTTTAAAAAAAAAAAATCTAAGTTCATCAGGCTTTAATATGCTAATTCTTATTTCCTAGAAATGAATCTTTATGTCTTTTGTTTAAAAAAATGTCTTTTTCTTTCTTTCTCTCTCTCTTTCTTATAGCTCCACCAGCTCTAAAACTATCTGTGAATGAGACTTTAGTGGTAAATCCAGGGGATAATGTTACCATATACTGTTCGTTAACAGGCGGGGATCCTTTGCCTCAGGTAGTCTGGTCTCACTCACCTGGTCCTATGCCTCCGAACAGCCTGATTCAAGGGGGCAATCTTACCATCTGGGGCATTCAAACTGAAGATTCAGGTTATTACAACTGTACAGCCATCAACAATGTTGGGAATCCAGCCAAGAAGACAGTGAACCTATTGGTGCGATGTACGTCTTTCTATTAATCTAATTGGGGATGGAGCCTGAATTTCCAGCTCACTTTGTTCCTTTTAAAGATTGGAATAAATTTAAGACTGGTACTTCAGGACAGAAAGAGTATTAACCAAGCTTGATTTTACATTGCATTGCTTCCTTTTCTCATAATTTTCAGATTTGTTTTCAACACATAGGTTTGTATACCCACACACACACACACATTGCTTCACACTAAGTTACATTGAAAGGAGAGGGGTTTTGGTAGGAGATGGATGCAAATAAATAAGTTTTCTCATGTTCTTTAAAACTCTTTCCTCTCTCCTTGTTTTTCTCCTGATTTCTTTAGTCATTTCTGTCAAAGCGACTTCTCTTGCCACATTCCATTTATTGAGGGTCAAATTAATACATTATATTTGCATTATATTATATTTGCATACAAGTATAAGGTAGCCTATTCAAAAATCACATTTGTATCCCTGTCCTATCAAGAATGAAATTATAGCAAGCAGGGGAAGGATATTCAGTTCCCCCTGCATCATAGACTTAGTGAAAATAACTTTCCAGAATTATTTCTGCATATGAAAAGGAGATGCTATTAAACAGAATGTTAAATTCTGTTGATAAGAATGTGAATTATATTGGCGTACTTTTTGTGCTACGTAATTACATAATTACTCAGATTTCTATGCCCTGTCAGTCAGGACATGACATGACACAACATTTTATTTATTTATTTATGAGACTTATATACCGCTTTAAGTGCAAGCACTCTCTAAGCGGTGTACACCAGTAAGCAATGTATATATATATATATATTTACATGACATGATATGACATATTTTGACCACTTGAAGATTAGGCATTGATATATTCACCAGTTTGGCCTTTGTATTTCCTCCAGCCATGAAGAATGTAACATTCCAGATCACTCCTGATGTCATCAAAGAGAGTGAAACCATCCAGCTAGGGCAGGACCTGAAGCTCTCATGCCATGTGGATGCTGTCCCCCAAGAAAAAGTTTTCTACTTTTGGTACAAGAATGGGAAGCTGGCCAAATTCTCAGATCGAGTCGTTGTCATCAAGAATGACCCGGAACTTCCCCCCGTGACAAGCAGCCTAGAGATAATTGATCTCCGTTTCACTGATTATGGTACATACCTGTGTGTGGCATCTTTCCAAGGAGCACCCATCCCTGACCTGAGTGTCGAGGTGAACATTTCTTCAGAAACAGGTAAACTTTCATCTAATTTTTAACTTATCCAGAAGCCCGATTAAGGATAGAACACAGTTAAAAAAAGAATGTACGTTTAATCAAAATCTATCCCGGGAGCTTCATAAAGAGCCTACGCTCTGTTTACCAGATAGGTAGATTAGCTTTAATCACAGGATAAATCCTTTTCAAATTATTTGGAGGGTTTAAGATGGAAGGCTGCACTGCCAGGCAACTTCTTTCTCTCTGTTCCAAATTTTGTGTTTTCAGATAAATGGATTACAGAAAAAGTCAGGCTGAGTAAATTTCTTTATATGTAATATGTCATGCTAGATACTTTTATATTATGTTGTTGTTTTTCCAATGCTTTCTTTCTTAAAGCATAACAAACCTTTCAAAACAAAAAGGCCTAAGAATTACAGCATATTAAAGTGAAGGACCAGATTCATCTTTGAACAGTTCTCGGCACATTAGAAACTTCTCTGCATGTAAATCAGGAGCAAATTGAGGAGAAGGGATAGGCAGGGTGTAACCATCTAGCCATGCAAAGTGGCTCTAAGAAAGAGTAATTTTGTGATATTCTTTGAGGATGACATTACTAATGCTTTGGGAAGTTCTGGCTAAGAGCCAAATTTGATATGGCACTAACTACATCACTGAAATAGATCAGGGTTTTAAAATAAATGTAATAGAGATGGGGAATGATATTCTTCAGGGATAAATCCAAGAGAAAATTATTGAAACTTTCCATCCCTAGGCCCTAGCCCCCTCCTCCGTGCACACATGCACTGCAATGTTCTTTTTTTGAAAAAGAAAGAAAGATTTTGTTTTTGCTAGAGAGTTTTGTTTATTTTATTTATTTTAGTTCAAAACCAGCCGCAGCATATTGTAGAGAAATTTCCATTGGGATTACAGTTAAACCTGCCCTCCATATGTACTGTTGCCCCATTGAAAATAACCTTCATACTTATTGACTAAAACAAACAGTGGTTTAGTTTCTAATGATTCACTTAGCATCAAATCTACTTCATTTCTCAGGAGGGTTTAGAGGTAAGGCAGTTAGAGAACAAAGCTTTCTGAAGTGTGTTTGCAAGGAAGGTCACAGGTGCCTATCAGAGAAACAATGGGAAGGCTAGCGGTCCACTTAAATAAAAAGTTTCCAAAAGAAAATCCTAAGCAAGGCTCCTACCACAGAGAAATTAATACTTTGCATGATCTTGATTCTATCCCTCTGTTAATGCAGCCTAGCACTGTATTGGCTTTTTTGGCAGTGTGCTGCAGCTGCCAAAAAAGCCAACACAGTGCTAGGCTGCATTAACAGAGGGATAGAATCAAGATCACACAAAGTATTAATACCACTCTACAATGCCTTGGTAAGGCCACACTTGGAATACTACATCCAGTTTTGGTCACCGCGATGTAAAAAAGATGTTGAGACTCTAGAAAGAGTACAGAAAAGAGCAACAAAGATGATTAGGGTACTTAAAACATATAAGGAATGATTGATGGAATTGGGTATGTCTAGTTTAATGAAGAGAAGGATGAGGGGGGACATGATAGCAGTGTTTCAATATCTCAGGAGCTGCCATAGAGAAGAGGGAGTCAAGCTATTTTCCAAAGCACCTGAAGGCAGGACAAGAAGCAATAGATGGAAACTAATCAAGGAGAGAAGCAACCTAGAACTAAGGAGAAACTTCCTGACAGTTAGAACAATTAACCAGTGGAACAACCTGCTTCCAGAAGCGGTGAATGCTCCAACACTGGAAGTTTTTAAGAAGAAACTGGACAGCCATTTGTCTGAAATGGTACAGGGTTACCTGCCTGAGCAGGGGGTTGGACTTGATGACCTCCAAGGCCCCTTCCAACTTATTATTATTATTATCATCATCATCATCATCAAATTATTAGAAGTAATCTGAATGGAGTATGGAACTGTAAATACACACACACACACACACAAAACAAACAAGAACATAGAAAGTAAGAACTAGAAGTACAAGAAAAAAACGTTGAAAAAGAAAAGAAAAGCATGCAACTGTGCCTTCCACACTTCTTTCTATCAAGTAATTATCATCTCTATAGCCTCAATTTTAATCACCAGATCCTAAGATCAGCCATTCATTCTTATTTTTTTTCTCAGTAAAAAGTCCATATAAGGCAGTGGTTCTCAACCTTTCTAATGCCGTGACCCCATAATACAGTTCCCCGTGTTGTGGTGACCCCCAAGTGGGTGTGGCCACCAATAAGAGGGAGTAGGACAGCTAGGGAAAAGGGAAAAAATGGCGGACAGCATGGTTTGGCGACCCCCGTGAAATGGTCATTTGACCCCAAATGGGGTCCCAACCCACAGGTTGAGAACCACTGATATAAGGTTTCCACCCTTGTAAAAAAATTTCATGGGTTTTGAAAAAGGGTTTATTATGTTTGTACTGAAGTGTGTGGTTTTTTTCCCCTAGTTTGACCACAGATAGAAATGGTGGTACTGTATATTTATTCCCTGGTTTTCTAAATATCCTTTCTCTCGTAAGATTTAGCAAGCAGGTCATCCAGCATAAGGGTCCCAGAAAGCTGCTTTTAATTAAAAACTTTTCAAATGCAATTTACACATTTTCCCCATAAAGAAAATTGTCTCCTGCCAGGTGAGCATATGCTGGCATTACTGAGCCATGTGGGTGCAGCTCAATCTTCACACCATATAAGAGAGGATTTGATGAGATTCCATAGCCCACAGAAGGCCTGCAAATTGAAAATTCACCTTCTTATTGCCTAGTGATATAACTGATGAGATACTGGATGCTAGACCTACATAAATATGCCTTTAAGCTAGCTATGCGCTATATTTTTGTGTGATTAAAATCATCACACTCTCTCTTGGCCCTCTTACATTTATGGGTTACATGCAGACATTACTTGGTCATGCAGATAAAAATAAATTTGGAACTTTTACACTGCATTTTTAAATCACTTCAAAATGTAAAAGTATTACATAGAAATATTTGAAGAGAGAAAGAGGACTTCACAAAGAATCAAGTATAATTATTATTAGTTTCCATGATATTTTAGTACAGATATTCCCTACAATAATCTTTCCCAACAGATGTCCTACCAGTTTTCCGGGGTATACAACTCCGGAATTTCTGGTGGAAAAAAAAAGTTGTAGTTCAAATATATTTGGAGATCAACAAATAGGAGTAGGCAGCCCTGAAGAATCTGTATCCCCTAATTATAATCTTAAAAAGAGGGCAAAGAAGATGGTGAAGCTTACGAAGACAAGTTCTGAAAGTTGAAGGAATAGAGGAAAGTAAGATTTAGAAGCAATATTTTTTATGGAACTATCACAAAGATGATGGAACAAATTCATTCTTTGTATCCTAGTCATTTGGATTTGAACCAATGGGAACAAGTTACAAACTGCTTCATAAGGTCATAAAATTTTATCACATTTTCAATTATAGAAATGTGGGGGTTGGTAGGTACCTTGAAGATCATCTAGTTCTGCTATCATGTCTTCACAATCTTTTCTCTTCTCCAAACTAAAACCTCCATCTAGAGGAGTTCCTTACCCACTGGAGTCCACTGGAGTTGGACTATTATTTTACATTATAATGTATATTATAATGTATATTATTATTATACATTATAATAATTTATTATAATGTATTTTATAATGTTATACTACAGTATAATTGTTATATAATGTTACAATAATAAAATGAAGAATAGGAAAGAGACATGGCATGGCAAAGCAAAGTATTATATTGCCAATATATTAAAAAAAAAAACTAGCTGGCAAAGCAGATAATGAGACCTGTCAGTGGCTAAGAGCAAGTTAAAGAAAAAGACAAAGGGGCTAATTCTGGCTGCACAAGACAAAGCCTCAAGAACAAATGCGTACAAAGCCAGAACTGAAAAGACAGAAACAGACAGCAAATGCCAACTCTGCAAAAAAACTTAACAAACAGCGGACCACATAGCTAGGTGCCACAAGAAGAACTTATAGATTGACTACAAACAACAGCATGACAAAGGGGCATTGGAATATCTTCAAGAAATACCATGCACCAACACCAAGAAACAACTGGTGAGACCACAAAATAGACAAAGTATTAGGAAATGAAGAAGCTAAAGTGCTTTGGGATTTCAGAATGCAAACAGACATGCCCCAGCCACGTAACATCCCAGACATAAAATTGTTGATAAGGAAACCAAAGTTGGAATAGTGGAAGTTGAAGTGCCTGGAGACAGCAGAAGAGAAAATCACAATATACAAAGACCTGCAGATAGAAGTCTAAACGTCTGGCTGACTAATTGATCAAACATCATAACAATAATTTCATATCTCTTATCATTCTAGATCTTCATTGGAACTCTTCCAATTTTTTATATCTTCCTAAAATGTAGTGTCCAAAACAGAATATTCTAGGTATGTTCTAAATCAGGAGTGTCAAATTGGCAGCCCGTGGACCAGATGTGTCACCTGCAGGTCATGCCCACCCCTGTTCCGCAAAGGCAAAAAATGTCATGATACGTCACAATATGTCACATGATGCGATTGAGTTTGACACCAGTGTTATAAATGGACTATGATTTCTTTTGATCTTGACACTATTATTTCTGCTAATGTAGCCATTGACATATCCTCATTGGATACAATTGTTCAACCAGCTCTGTATCAATCTAAAACTACCATAGCCCAGCCCATATTTTGCCATGGGCCACAGTAGAATCTCATGAAAAATATTGTTGAATTTTTGCTGAACTCAAGGTACATGCTGCTGGACATTCATAGTTAACTGAACTACTCACTCTGTCAAAAATATCACATTGGCTTGTCGTGATTTGTTCTTGATAACCTCATATTGGTTTTGCCAAGCAATGCATTTTTGTCTAATTGATCACTTAATAATCTGTTCCAGAGCTTTGACAAATGACAATGTTAAGCTGACTGGTATGTACTTAGATGGGTTCTTTCTCCTCTTTTTTTAAGATTGGAATAACAGGATGAGGAAGATTTTTTTCTTATGCTAGGCAGAAGCCAAATTCTATGATAGTATACAGAATAAATAATGATGGTGATGGGCTGAATCAGCATTATTTAAAATAGCAAGGTCAAATAATTAAATATGCCTTGACTTCAGCTTCAGCAATCTTTTACATACACATATCACTCCAATGAGCTAATTCTTAAACATTGCTGTTGAATAATGGTTCTTTTCTTGTGATCTTTTTCCCAATAGTGCCTCCAACGATCATGGTGCCCAAGGGTCAATCCATCATTACTGTCCGTGAAGATTCGAGAGCAGAGTTACAGTGTGAAGTCCGAGGGAAACCCAAACCTCCTATCATCTGGTCCAGAGTTGATAAAGAGGCTCCTATGCCTTCAGGGACCATGACAGTGGAGTCAAATGATGGGAAGCTGCATTTTGAGAAGGTGACTCAAAAAATGAGTGGGATTTACAAATGCCAGACAGCCAGATACAATGGCTTCAACATTAGACCCCGAGAAGCCCTGGTGCAACTCAACGTACAGTGTGAGTATAAATGAGGAACTTATTTTCTTCAATGCAGCACCTCTATCTTTACTGTTTTTGCAGATTAGATAGTTCTGTTAATAATAATAACAAAATAGTGTGCAGAAAAGTGTCTGTTTGAATTACTAGATCTTGTACCTCCACAGAGTCAGAAAAGTTTAAATCTCAGATTTAGTGGTTAAAGTGTTATAATGTAATATATGATTTTATATAATGTATAAATATATTATAATATATAATTTTAACGTAAGTCAATAGAATACTCAACTCAGAAACTTTCCTAAGAACATTTCCCAGTTATATCCCAATGTTTGTGCTATGGTAGAGACCTGAATGTGTTCATTGGTATCTGACCAAACATAATTGATAAACCGTCTGCCTATGATGAGTGGGGAGAGGGATGGCTATTTAATCTCTGCTTTGTGAGCATGTCATTCTGTAAAGATAGCTTGTGTGTCCTTGAATGGCCCAAGTTACTTTGATGTCAAGCAATGTGAAGTCAACTGTGTTGCTTTCTGCATGTCCAAGAAACACACATCTGCCCCGAATCCATAACAGCTGCAGAGAATAGAAAAAATATTTAACATTATTTTATGATATCAAAACTTACTATTTTATTAATAGTATGACATAATTAAAATTAAAGAAAAAAGAAAATTAAACCCTTTGGAAATGTATATCAAAAACAAGGTAGCTTGTTCAAAACTTTTCTTCCTTGTTCATTTGTGATTTTTTTTAAAAAAAAACCCACAATTGAAATATTGACAAATAAAACATCATAAATCCAGTGCTGAAAAGTGGGTGTAGATTTATCATTTCACTGTATGAAAAGCAATAATAATGTTAGCCATATCCCACACATGAGAGATCTGTGGTTATTGATATTGTGATCAATTCAAAATACTCAAAAAGAAGATCTACATGATTAGATTAAAGAACAGGGAGCAAACAGAAAGCAAATCTGCTAGTGATTTCAAAGGAGAAATAAAAGAAGAAGAGAATAACCAGAGAAGCTATATATTCTGAGAGATTGTGTGTCAGTTGTGAGAAAGGAATAGTTGTCTCCTGAATAGCTGCTGACTGCAAAGGTGTTTACTGAGAGCCACAAATTGCCTGTTGTTAAGGTGACCAACCGTCCTCCTTTTGGAAGGACAGTCCTCCTTTTTTGAGTTCTGTCCTCCCTTGAAAAGTGTCCTCCTAAATGTCCTCCTTTTCCATATACCGTCCTCCTTTTGGGAGGACAGTCCTCCTTTTGTGAGTTCTGTCGTCTCTCGAAAATGTCCTCCTAAATGTCCTCTTTTTGACGACTAATCTGCAGGGCTTTTGTTTCCTCATAGAACGCTCAGAAGGCGTTCCGGGACCTTTTTTTTATTTTTTTTCAACTTTTGCATCTACTCCCCCTATTGGCTTTCGAAAGCCAATAGGAATTGCTGCTGAGCGCGCCAAAACACCCGGGCGGCAAACTTTGCACGTGCAAGTTGCAGGAACTTGCACCCCTCACTGCTACCCAACTACACGATCTCCTACTTCTTAGTTCCAAAGATAGCTGGAGGAGACTGGAGCGGTAAGTTTCACTTGATCTTCCCTGTTCAGTTCTACGCGGGGATACACAGGGTAGGCGGTGGTGCTGGGGGGCGGCTGGGGGGGGGTGGCTGCAGGACCAGAGCTGGCGCAGCTGGTGCTTTGCAAGCCACGGGGCCGGCTCTACGGGGATGGGCAGGGGGGGCGGTGGTGCTGGGGGGTGGTGGTGCTGGGGGGCGGCTGCAGGGCCGGAGCCGGCGCGGCTGGTGCTTTGCAAGCCGTGGGGCCGGCTCTACCGGGATGCGCAGGGTGGATGGTGGTGCTGCCCCAGCAGCTGGGGGGCGGCTGCAGGGCCAGAGCCGGCGCGGCTGGTGCTTTGCAAGCCGCGGGGCCGGTTGTACGGGGATGGGCAGGGGGGGCGGTGGTGCTGGGGAGAGGCTGCAGGGCCGGAGCTGGCGCGGCTGGTGCTTTGCGAGCTGTAGGGCCGGCTCTCCATGGCAGGGCAGCAGTGCTGGCGGGGCGGCTGTGGGCGGGGGCGCGGCGGGCAGTTGACCTTCCATGGGCTGCGCCAGCTGGTGGTCTACGCAGTGCTGACCTGCACTGCCACCATCTCACCCTGCGCATCTACATGGCCATCCTGGAGCGCCTGGCTCACAACACCTGCCTCCGCCGCCCACCCCCACGCAGTCCAGCCGTGTAGATTTTTGGACAAGTGAGAAATCGAGATTGAATATTGATACTCTAGCTGCAGCACTTGCCGTAAAATTCAATATGAAGGATATTTCTTGTTCAGATATTTCCAATATATTGTTAGAAGATGATACATTGACAAAAAATATTCATTCAATGGAAAAGTACTCATTTAAATAATTAATAGGCATGTAAGCATAATTACAATATAAAATGTTATTGTTACAAATGTTTTTATTATGCATTTATCATATTATAGTGTATTCTGTATTATTGTTGCAATAAATACAATGTTTCTTTTATTTACGATATTTTTTTCTTAAATTTATTCGTGTCCTCCTTTTTGTTGTAAAAAAAGTTGGTCACCTTACTGTTGTAGGTATCTCCCAGGGATTTTGGGAGTCAGGTGGCATACACATTTAATAAATAATCAAAGGATTGCTTTCTGCTGATGAAGTAGATAATGTAGGAGGAATATAAGAGACAGCTACAGTTCAGGGAGTAAGGTCATTGAGCAAGAACTAACAGTGAAATTTGGCATGGGAAACCTTATGGAATTTCTTTATAAATGAACATTCTTGACTAAATTGAGAAGCTGAGAACAGAAAAAAGAAAAATAATAGTTTTCTACTCATGGTGCAGTGAAAATTGCTAAGTGAAACTGGGGGTATGCTTATGATCTTATTTCAGCTTTCCTTTACTGAACTGCTAAGCTCAAACATGTTATAAAGTTACTTTCTCATCACTGTCATAATTTTAAAAAATCATTAACAAGGTAGATGCTAAACAAGGACTACCTGTATCTTAAGGAAGAAAAGTGAAAACAAAACAGTAGTCTGCAGTTATGTTCTGCAGTGCTTGTGTCCTTGTGATTTTCCTGTCCGAGAATAATCCAACATGTATTGCAGGAAGAGAAAGCAACTTTCCATTGGAAGAGAATCAAATAAAAAGAGACAAGCCAGTAAATAAAATGACTACCAGGAGCAAAACATTTAGAGAATATTCTGTATCACTGAATGTCATTATTCTTACAATATAAACAGGATCCAAATCTTCAGTGGAAGAAAGAGAGACATTGCAGGGCAGAATTAATGGATCTAGGAAAGATACATGGGGATAGAAATGCCAGTTACCTCAATAACCAACTGTCCCCTAGCTAAGAACTGCAAAGCAAGTTATGTCTTAAACCAGAGGAAATGTGGAAAATTCTAGTAGATATAAGAGGGAGCTATATTCTTCTCTTGATAGGGGGCAATTGATTGTTTTACGTAGTTCTATTGTAGCATGCAAAAAAAAAATCTATGGAGTGTTGGGTAGCCATTCCTAAGTTTGAGCCAGGGAGTGCCTTGTGAACTGTGTTTGTTTACCAGGAGTCAGACACAGAGTTTTGACAGAACAACTTTGAGAAATTACTTAAGTCCATTGATGAATTTATCTTTCTGCTAATATACATGGAGACAAATAATATGTAAATAACAACTACATGAGCAGGAACTTCGAAAATTTAAGATGGAAGCTTTACAGAGGCAATATCTCATTCATTATACTAGTCCCTAGAAGAGGCTTGAAAATGGAAAATCTGTAATTGGCTAGACAACCAATGACAACAGAAGACATTTGTTTTTTGAGGCCTTGGTCTGCTTTGTTAGAATGGTCTACCGGTATGGGAAGACTGCAATTCATAAGAATGGTTTTAAATCTGTGTGGTCAAAACATGGCAAGTTCTTAGGAGAGCTTTAATCCTTGGGTGCTCACCAATAGGAAATTAAGTAGAATGTATTAGATGTTATTTGAGACGGAGAAATGCTAATAGGTACACTGAGAACTTATGCACCTTGTGTGTCCAATCACACTTGGCCAATAAAGAATTCTATTCTATTTTATTCTCTAATAGAGAGAGTACCAGAAAAAATAGAGAGTACTGATATAGTAAAAAAGATGTCTAGTACCGTACAGCCATTTTCATCTGAGGGTCCAGAGAATCCTGAGATTTCATGAGAAGCCACTAGGGGTTTCACAAGAGATCATGACCAAAACAGTAAACAAACATTTGCTTAACTTTCTGTACCACACAATATTATTAGTCACAGTGTTGGAAATTTCTTATGTGCTATGATTCAGCTGCAAGCATGCCTCTTTGCTGTTGTTGTAGAACATAAGTAGGTTAAAAACAAATTGCATTGTGAGATTTTCATATTTTTGCCATTTCCCTTTCAGCAAAGGGTGTATTTTCCAGCATGCAGTTGTAAAGAACTAGATAAATGGACAGGATTGATACTTAAGAAGAAGTATATATTCTGAATTAGTTTAAATCTCCAAGGCCAAATGATTTGCATACAGAACACTGAAATAAGTTGGTAATAGTCTGACTGAACCAATGAAACTTCTGGAGAGCTGATGAAGTGCTAGTTTTTTTGGGGGGGGGGATGTAAATATTGTCCCAGTCTACAAATATGATGTTGGGGAAAATGGGGATGTTGATCCAGGGAATTATAAATCATTCAGTCTGACAGCAATAACCAGGAAGATTCTATAAGAGATCATAAAAGGATTGTTTTATAAGGACATTGGAGACAATGCAGCAGCTACTAGTGGTCAGCATGGATTGTTAAAAATGAATCTTAGCAACTTTTTTTATTGGTTAACTTCTTTAGCACATTGTGGGGACATAATATTAATAATATAGTTTGATTTCAACTAAGTATTTGAGAAAGTGCCCCATGGCATTTTAATAAGTTAGTAATATGTGAATGGCATTACAAGCCGGTTTGTTCTGAGAACCAGCTGAA